GCCGTACTATCTGAAAATAACAAGAAAAAGATTAAAATGAGGCTTCGATCATTTAAAAAAGACTTTTAAATTCTTAAATAATCATTTTTCGAAGAAAATAATACAATTTTTTATTTTCATAACGTAAACAAAAGTCATGGAATAAGAATGCAAGCACATTGCATTTAGCATTGTATCATGCAATCATGCTTGGATTGATATCGTATTTAAGCATGTAACATGTACTTTAAAGTGAAAAGTTTAAAACAATTATTACTCTGCATATCCATCTCCATCTTCATGCTTTATCATTTTATTTTTGTTACAATATATATAGGCAGGAAACACCGGTATCATATCATTTATAGATAAGAAAGTTTAATACCATCATTAATTATTAAAGGTCAAATATAATATTTATGTGAAAATTCATAATTATTCATTATTATCGGCCTCTGGAATCATATGAATAACATTCTGAGGTCTGTTTAATTTTTTGTCACCAATTTCCATCACTAAATGTCGTTTAAACTTACCTGAGTGACAAGTGGATCATTTATTGTAAATCGCTTATCTCCCTTGTTGCATGACGTCATTAGAGACAATGTGAAATAGGAAGTGCATACTATATTGACGGGTTTGGAAAATTATTGTTCTCTAGATGCTGTCATATGCGCTTTTAACTTTAATAATAATTCGGGACAAGATATGAGTATATTTATTTATTGTTTACGAACCTGAAATTGAGGAGAATACTAAGTATTCATATTAAATTGAGAGTCTAAGAGAAATGGTACGTTTTGAGCCCAATAAACATGCAAAGCTATAAATATGACTAATATTTTTACATAGATCAGTTTACAGGCACGTAGCCACAGGGGAGGGGGTGCAGAGGAGGCCTCCCCATTTTTTCACAAACATTACGCTTACTAGGGTTTCGAGTTTGGGCAATTCTTCACCCCCCCCTTTTTGTTGCTTGTCAACTTTTAAAACTTTTCTCTGGCTGTCCCCCTTTCAAAAACGATGCTACGTGGCTGGTTTAGCCTACAGTTTAATTAAATATAAAATGTCTGACGGATTTCTTGGGTTTATTTCAAAATTTAAGTCGTATTTTAATTTCTCAGTTTAGGTTTTAAAGCCCCAATACTGTTTGAAAGGGAAAGGTTTTAAAATTTTTATTTCAATTATTTTGGTTACAGTACTGTACTAGACAAGATGACAGGCACCTGAGATTTTGCACTCTCTCTCCTATTGAAAATTTAACTAAGACAATATACATGAATTCCTCGTATACATACCAATACCATAAATAATTTGATGTTTTCCGTTTTTGTCAAGTTACAGAGATTGTCCCTTTACAGTATGTGCTCGGTATCGTACATACATGTATTACGCGGCGCCAAGTCAAAAGAACATGTATCTTGCCGTAAACTACCTCTAGTATGCTGTCAAAGCCATAAAAAGTACTTGCAGTTTTCATAAACCGTAAAAGAACAATTTCTAAAACTTGACAGAAAACGGAAGATGATAATCAAATATCGATTTATTGAGTCTATTTATTTATTTTTCACTCATATGAAGACGTCATCATTTGCCGACGAAAAGCTGAAAATTTTGTCCTATGCTCGGCACTTAGGGCCATTGAGCAAGGAGGGATCTTTTTCGTGCCAGCACCTACAGCGACACAGGACCTCGGTTTACACGGTCTCATCCGATGGACCGTATCAAATATCAAAGTATTGGTATGATAGACAAGGAAATTATTATTTGAAATGATAGACAAGGAAATGATTATCGTGTCCAAAAATATTTCGTTGGGGGTGGTGGATGTACATCAACCATTTTTCAGGTGCCTGCGCTCAAGACGGAAGGTTACCGAGGCGGTGATATACCCATCCGAGAAATCTGCGATAAGAGAGATGCACAATGAATGTACGTAGAGTAGAAAATGATAGAGAAAAAACTATCTGTATGTTTTTATCGTGTACATAAATGTTATATTCTTTCAAGCAAACTAAATAAATGTTAAGCATATGGTGAGCAGACTGAATATGAAAAAGGGGGGGGGTAATAGACAAGCCAAAAAGATTCTTGATTAAAAAATGTGACCCCCCCAAAAAAAAAATAAAATGGAAGGGGGTAGTCTTTTTCGTACATATAATGAGTATAATGAGATGTAGGAAAATGACCTTTTCTGTGACAAAACGGGAAAGGGGTTGTTACTAACCTTTCATGAAAATTTCCTTTTTAAATTAAAATTTAAGAAATATTTATATGAAAAAGTCAGGGAGCACCCCCCCCCCCTCTCACCTATAGTTCGTGCCTGTAAGGCAATTTTCCTCGGATAATATACTTGTACAGAGTTGGTGATTTCATTTCTTGTCAGGATATATAAATGTTAAGTATAATGTCCGTCTCAGATAATATTTTCTCAAGAATGTGTTTATTTACTTCCATGCAGTTGCACTTTTTTCTGTTATAATATTATCAAAAAAATAAAACTTCAGTGATCGTTCCTCCATATTTTACTGTCCACTTCATTTGTTTTTCTGCAGTATTTTTCTCTTTGACCGGCGTCTTGACATAGTTACCAAAAGAGCATATAAACTAAATTAGGATGAAGAAATTCATATTAAAATATTTTTTTTTTAATAAAAGCGCCTTATGACAAAGATTTTACGCAAAGCATGCCTGTAGGAAGCAATTTCCATTTGGGGGCAAAACAAAGAAATGTCATTTCGGGAGGATCGAGAGGGGCGGACAAATAAAAATTCCTTGTTACGCATTAAGATTCCAGACATACGTATAGTAATCACGGGTGCTTGGGGACGGGAAAATTCATACCCTCTGATACTGAAACGGAACGTTCCTGTTTTATTATCAGAGTGTATGAATATTTATAGATGTAAACTAAAAGGGCTAGGTTAAGCTTACATTTTGGATTGTTCATTTGTAATCCTTTGTGATATGTTATAGAAAAATATTTAATTCTTAAAATGTCAAAGAATCCTTGGGATACGAAACACCCAGGGTGGGTGGTTAGGGGACCCCCCCCCCCCCCAAAAAAAAGCACCAGTGTGATAGCAATATCTTCGAATTCCCACGGATGATAAATTTATATCCGATGATGCAGTAAATTCTATTGATCTGTTCATTGTTTACCAAAGTATGATTTACATTAAAAAATCCTGTGTACATGTATCCCCTGTTCAAACAGCCATGAAATGTAAAGAAAAGAATTCTGTAATTTTTTACGAGTGAAAGTCTTGGTCCCATCTATGTATGATGAATAAGGAACAATACATAAATCATTTTTTTTGTAAACATCTCTGCGGTAATATTAGGTGATTGAGTAAAAGCGATTAAATATCAGTTGTGTACATTCGCTAGGTTCTGCGATGATACTTGGTCAGAACTTTGTATGATTTTCATTTCCACTTTCACCCTTACCGGCTTTTCCTTGATTGGCTCAAACATACAAAGCCTAGCTATTCTTAATTGAAAGATCTACACGTAACCCTGGTATATCAACATTTATATGTTCCCTAAAATTTACCATTCTTTTAGATAATCAAGAGTAGTTATATACCAAAATACTATACTTATATAACTAGATTCCGTCGAGTGTCTCGAATGACGTCACAAAAACGGGAAGTAACTCTATTAATGAACGTTATTTTTAGTGATATTTAAACAGGTAAATACAGAGAACTTTATGTATTGTGAGAACAGTTTTCTCATTATTATGTTATTGAGTTATTAAATGTTTTGAACCGACTTCATATTGGTCAATAAACGCATCTTTTGTGTTCATCTTGAAAAAATGGCATTAAGAATAATCTAGTTTAGTTATCAATTTGACTAACGTAGAACATTTCTTCGATAGAATGAGCACTGTGATCTTGGAAGAAAATTTAAAAGAGAGTCATGGTTTCATGGATTTATTCCCCAGGAAGAAGCAGACCGACTTTTGAAACAAAACGGTGATTTCTTGGTACGAGTGTCAAAAAGAAAATCAGGGGAAGAATGCAGTTATATAATTTCTGCTTTTCAAGAAAGACCAGTGCTTATCAAGATCTTCCGCAGAGGTGTTTACGTAAGATTTCATTTAATATGTGACATTTTTATTTATGTAACTAAAATATCAATCTTGAAAAATGTGTTTAAATCTTTTTAACAACTACGGTAATAGAAAAGATGAAAATGAATTTAAACGCCCGATGCGGTGCCTATTGTTATTTATTTTACACCATTGTCTCCGAGGGTGGAATGCGCCATATTTAGGATATGTAGGGATACATCTTTAAAAATACTTTTCTCAAGAACAGCCAAGACATGATGAATCATACTGCCTTTGAAGCACCCTCTGGTAGTGTAAGTTTTATTTTTTATGTAATTATCCCTGTTTAAAGTGTGGGACCAGTAAAAGGGGTCACAAAAGGGGTTAAAATTAAACGAATATTGTAATTCCCTCTTTTTAACTTTTATTTACAACATAAATCAGTTACAAGCATATCTATTTCCTTTGAATTTGACCTTTAATATGATTATTAACATTTAGTATTATGAGGCTATAAATTCTATTGATAAACTAATTGTCGGATCTAATACTATATGTAGAAGATGTATATTTTATAAATAAATATTGTTTAAACTATATTTGAATAAATTAAAAAGAATCTATTTGATACTAACAAGATATTTAATTAAAATCATTCATTGTCCAAGAGGTTTTATATTGCTCAGTGTTTTGTTCACTGAACATTATTCAGTTTGAATCCAAGACATGTCGTTCCAATGCTTTTCTAAATATTTGATCCATCAAACATTCTGACAAATAACTTGAACATTTCAAGGACATACGCATCTTTACCATTACATTGAACAATACAATGACTGTTGTTAGATCCACAAACCGCACTAATATTGCATTTCATTACTAACAATTACATTTTAAAAGATAAAGTTGTAGGACTTTTCCACCTCAACCATTATTTTTCAAAGAGGTTAGAATACTTTACCGCTTTTATTGATCATCCAGCCAGAAAACATTGTATACATCGCTTCTGCTCGCCCGCTTTTGACTTTTACCCAGACTTTGTCCTTTCTGGTAAGGCTAAGGACAGCGAAGGAAGTAGTTGTGTCGTAGTAGGATGGGGCTTCATCAGACTTCGATATTCCCATTTCTAATCCGTTTACTAAAAGTGCAGCCTCAGTCAACTGTCCGTAAGTCTCTATGCTCCAAGAAAACACACAGAAGCCTGTTGTTGGTACAGTAAAAATCCCAGAGGTAATGTCGTACCCACTTCCAATATTTGAGATCACGTGATCGAAAATGACCACACCTGGACTGGAATTACTGGAAGCTACCACATGGCAGGCAATGTGGTCAGGCATCACTATATATATTTTCAAATATATTTTAATATAAATATAACAAAACTGAGGAGAATAGATGATTTTTTTTTCAAATATAAACATGATTTATAAGAAAAGACATGCAAAATGCATGCAAGTAGTCAAGACCAAAATATTTAAGATACATGTATATAAGAATTAAATATACGCAGAGTGCGACATTCAATGTTCGTAATTATTGCTGTTTTAAACGTCAATACGTTGATTTAATCAAATGTGGAGTATACCAATTACTGAACCTGAAGGGTGAGATAAATTGAGAACTTGAAAATTTCGAGATCATCGTATTGACCGAAGAAAAAGCCGCAATATATATTTTTTTTATAATATATGATAAGCGTTTACTTTTCAATGCCATCCTACTACCGGGGTATATATTTGAAGACACGACCAAACAAAATCAGAAAACTAAATTCTAATAAACATTACCAGTTGTATAAATTTGGAATTTATTTTTCAAATTGTTACTTGCATTGTAGAGCAAACGTCTAATATCAGAAACGTTGCATCGATTTTCCAGTGGTAGGGGATGAATGAAAAAGAAATGAGAATGTATATTGTGCCTAAAATGACTATAACTTACCCACCAGCCCCCATAAGATAATAAAATGAAGACATTCTCTTAACACCTATATATAACGGGTTTTTTGGGGGGTGGGGGGTAGGATCCAATATCAGTTGGGCCATCCTTTGAATAAACATTTTTATACCACATCAAAAGTAAAATGTTACGTTCATACAGATAAAAAAGGTGGAATAAAGGCCTTACAAACTCAACCTTTATTATGATTTCTTCACTGGAGAGAAAATAGATGTACATAGAAATATAAAGTACTTGCAAAAACCATTTCATATTTGGGAATTTCTTAATGTATTTTTAATTTAACATTGAAAAATCCTTTTCTTCACGTTGATGCATACAGCAGGTGAACAAAACAAATTCTATCTTTTATATACAAAGTTTGATGTCAACCAATTAGATATCTAAGAATTATTCAATCGGAGAACTCATACAATTACTGCAAAGCCAACTTTTATTCGCATCTGCAAGTGTCAGGATCTTATATAACTATCAAATATGAATCGGTGCAAACCAATTATTTTGCTTATTATTCAATCAGAATGTTTGATAAATCGGAAAATAATTCCCCGGATCAATTTCATACTGACGAATTGCAAATAAAAAGATGATGTGGATAATGGTTAGTTAACATTATTACCCCCAGCACGTGGTAGGCAAATTTGATATTTTTATAATATATTATCAAATAAAAATGCAAAACCCTGTTTTAAAAAATCTGAAAAAAAGTTCTTACATATGGACATTGCTTCCTTGACTGAGTTTAATTCCTTCTTAAGCATCTCCGTTTCAATGGCCTGATTGCTGACGAGCTGCTTCAGAAATGTTGTTTGATCTTTTAAAGTCTTTATTTCATCTTGTTAAGAACAAGTATCCGAGTTGGAATCAAGTGTTTGACTTGTACAGGAATTCATCAATTGCATTGCGGATAAAATAGTCCAAAATACAATCTTTCTTTCTGTTGCCATGGTGCTGACTTTCCAAAATTTCGTAACATGTAAGGAAATTTCAAACCTGTTGAAGTAAATAAAGTATAAGGTCATAAAGAAGAGTATGGGATCCCTACAATGTAAGACCTTTGTTTAAAGAAAAGCAGTAATCAGTTCAGTATTGGAAAGATAAATAATGCGAAATTGGCCTTAAATGTATATCTTCACTAAACTCTAGAGCTCCCATTCTTAAAAAAAACGAAATGCCAAAATGAATATTTGAAAATGTTGAGATTCATAAAGTGTCCCTACCCTAAAATTCGCTTCAACATCACTGACAACAATTAATGCGTTATATTTCATTATATTTCACTCCAGCACGTGACCACATCTTGTGAAGAGTACAGGGAGCATAATGTAATTAAGTCGAGGATTCAACACGATACCGAAAAAAACATAACAAATTATAAAATGTAATTTAATATAACGTCCCACTTATAATTTTTATCATTCAAAGTAATATATCGATTGAATTTATATAAGGCACTTACACTGTTAAGTATAGGAAGTATGGTGTCAAAATTGAAAAGATTAACATTATAAAAATTAATATCAGGTGTGCCTTAACCCTGCAAATAATGATAATGGTCGTTCTTTAAAAAAAAAAAACAACAAGACTCCATCCCCTCCATTAATATTTGTCTTAGCTTACAAGTGGAGTTAGAAATCGAATATGTATATCAAAGATGATTACAGGATCGCAACTATAATTTTTTTTACATGCACGATGTTTCAATAGCTGAAGTATCTTATGTGAAATATATAGGCTGTGTGATAATAAACTAAACAAAATAGATTTTGACAGCTATTTTCATTCAACAAACATGTTAGAGAGAGAGAGAGAGCAGAAATATAAAATTAACATGCTACTTTGACAAGACTTTTCATTTTTAAGTGGAATGTTCACTATAATGCACACTTATAGAAACTAACCAGGAAGATTTTTTCGCTACTTCATCTTATTTGACAATATCTTTTGCAACATCTGTAATTTTTTTTCGTTATTTTCACAAACTTATATGAATTTTCAAGTAGTTGCTATCTTTGATACACAGGATTTTCCTCTTTTTTTTGGGGGGGGGGGGGGCAAAGTGGGCATACATTGTATTTGATTGACTTACGACATAATTACATTTTTGTAGTAAATATACTCTTCAAAAAAAGAAACGCATAGTAGGAACAGTGCCCTAAAAATTTTTGATAGTTTTGTCATACCTTTTATTTTTGTATGAATACGATGTATTCGAGTGAAATGAATGGTTTTTTAATGCAATTGTTAACTTTACAGCTATTCTACAAGTCTCACAGACAAAAAGAACTGATTTTGCAAAATTTTCCTTAAAATTTTGATCTCAATTTTCATTTGTTGAATTACGATGCAATTCCTTCAGGTACAAAGGGGCTATCAAAAGCGGGGGTTCTCGATATTTTAAATCTGGTTTTATCTGAAAATTGACGTTTCCTTAAATTGCTGCATCTGAATGTTGCGTGGCACAAAAAGGAAAATGGGCGACTGGAAGCAGGGGTACCGCAATCTACAGTTGCAAGAGGTTTTAATGTTACACCTAGACCATATCTAACCTATAAAACATAAACCATTAACATCGAACACCAAATGTTTGCAAAAAATATGGTAGACTACGTGTGACATCAGCAGCACAGCATCACTTCCGAGGATTACGCGAATTGCATGAATGTAATGCAAGGACGTCATCTAAAGCATTAGCTATCCCTGAACTGCACAGATCATCTAATAAGACCGTTTTCAGTTGACTACAAATTATTGCAAAAGGATTATTCATGCCGTTGTTCCGACCCCACAACACCCCAAATATCGACTTCAAAGATCTCAGATGAATAGAGTATGACCACAGCATCACTGCTGAGCATTTTGGTTAACCTACTAGTCCAGAATGTTTATCTAAAGCCTCTTATAAGTTTAAGAGTGCTAATGCTTTTTAATGAAGGTTAGATAGATAACTGCCTGCAGGACGTTAAAAAAGTAGGTGGTGGTAGTGTAATGATATGGAAAATGGTATTATAAGAAAGTAAGATTGATTTGGTTCGAATTCAATGGACTTTGATGGAAAAAGGTACTCTAACCATGTTCTACCTACACATACCCATTCAATTTTGCAGCATTCTAGAGCCGTATTGTAATGTCACAATACACAGCCACATATGGGTCGTTTGACACACCTATTCTTTTAAAGAAACAACAACCTGTTTCAGTCACAGTCATCTAAATCGCTAGATTTAATGCAAATTAAGCAGCATTGGACAAAATGGATTTTCATGATTTGCCAAAGACAATCGCATCCCCAGACTCTGCAACAGCTGGCTAAAGTTCTACATTTGGAGTGGGAGAGTAGCCAGAGAAAAAGAAACAGTTTAGATATTTCCTCGGTTTTATTGGCTACTGTAGAAAATTTTTGCCAAAATTTTCCACTATTTCTGCTTTGATGGAAACAAGAGCATGCTAATTCATCCAAGAGTTTAAAATCCATATTGCTCTGCAGTCCAATTCTCAGATTACCAGATTTGACGAAACCATTCATCTTAAAAACCAGTGCATCTAATCATGGCATTGGCGCAATGTTGATGTAGAAGCATGACGGACGTTCATTCCCTGTTGCGTACCCAAGCCGGAAGCTGCTAGACAGAGAACAGCAATATTCTGTTGTGGAAAATGAGTGTCTTGCAGTCGTATGGGCCGTACAGAATTTTTAGTCTTGTATCGTACAGCGTTTATTGTGAACACAGATCATAGACTCCTTCTGCATTTTGTAAAGACTAAAGCTTCAAATAGCTGATTGATGAGATGGCCTTTTTTTTTACAAGTGTTCAACTTTAGAATTAAGGTTATCAAAGGTGTGGATAATATTGGTGTTGATTTTCTCAGTCGTGTTGTTCCCGAGTAATTTCGAGTTCATAAAGACGTTGCTAAGTACATAGTTTAATTTTTTTTACCAAATTCCATATTTTGTTTTAAGAAGGGGGTATTGTAACATGTGACATTGCATTAATGTTAAATATGAATTAATTGTATAGGTATTTATTGGTAAGAGTTCTTTTTATTTGGAAATTAAGAGTTACCCTTTTTTAATCATGCCCTATTGGTTACTATGTTGTACTTCTTACTATTTTTATCAACGTATACTGGTCGAACCCGTTTGATTACTCAGTTATTTATACTGGATGTGGCTAGTGTTTGCCAGATGAAGTCTGGACGCCGGAAGAAGTTAACCTCTGCTTAGTGATCTTGGTTCTGTGCCTTTTATATAACCCATACTTTGTAAACTTGGGTGTGTTCTATTTCCCTTACTGTATGATCTTGGGATGCACTTATATTTTTAGCGGCGTTGAGAGCAAGACCTGGGGAACGACAGTATAATTATTTTGTATAAAATACCACAGCTCAGTAAGATTTAATACTTAACAATATTTTTGATGTTAGCTTTAAAGAGCAATATGCTATGTAAAACTGTTCGCAATGTAACAGGAATGCATATATGTACGCTTTAATTGATTTACTTTGTAAAAGGCGGATATATATTTTCTTATGCAGTTTGTGTGTAAAATCTAGTATTTTGAACAAGGTATGAGTTGAACATTTTATTGCAAAACCATGTAAAATTAGAGATGACCAAAATTGTATATAAATCTTCTGTTTTGGATTAGAGGATTGCAGAGACGCTAAATTTAGAATATGGTGGAGCAGCAGGGACAATATGGTGGACAAAAGACGATGTAGCGACGTGGTGTGAAACTGGTCCATGACAACTATGATTGAATTTTCAGGTGTGTTTTATCAATTGTATATGTGTATATTTTGTGTAACCCTATAAAACAGACCCTCAAAAAAATTGTCTTAAAAAAATACATGCACATTTTTTTTTCTTTTCAAATTAAGAGAAGACTCTACTTTATGCGAATAAAAACAACAAGAAAGATGCAGTTTTAATGTTTACTTCTCTAAATAGTAGGAGGACCCCTGCCCAGCATGCTTCTCTCTTGGGAAACCACCTTGATTTTATTCGAAACGGTATTTTATATCATATTACAGATATATTAAAATGTTTCCATTTGTATTCTTTTTTTTCTGTGAATACTCTTTGAAAGTTAGCTTAGAGTTGATTTCTTGATAATTCTACCGGAATGTAAATTATGCAGGTCGATAGGCCAGGAGCTAAGGAGGCCTAATATGCATGCAAATATTGTGCGCATCTGTCTTTGTGTCTGACGCTATGGAGGCCTCTTACACTACGAATGCCTAATCGGCATGTAAACTTCGTGCGTCTGCCATTGTGTTTGACGTCAGTGGACGAGGAATATTAAACTAGGAATGGGAGTCGTAGTGTGATTTTAATCTATGTCTAAATTTTTATTTATACACTGAATTGACGACGGATTTTTCCGATATTTCCTTATCATAACAAGGAGCACACGGCGGGTGTGACAGGTCAGCGGGGGATGCTTACTCCTCCATGACACATGATCCCACCTCTGATGTTTTGGAGATCCCTGTTCGCTCTGCTCTTATTTTGTATTGTTTTATGGACTTTGAGATTGTATACTGTTCGTAATCTCCATATCCTTCTTAAATGTAGGCGGGAATATATAGTAATCTTTTTAAAGGAGGTTTTGAAAAAAAAATCTGCTTAAAACAAGTTAAAACATAGGAGCTCTTTTAATTTCCGTTTCTGTTCAATTTGCACTTGAATATTTTAAAATTTAAAATGTAGGTTTAAATGATTGTGTAGGAAACTAAAGAAAAAAATGTTTTATATGAACTTTGCATTTCACAATTTACTAACATAGAAAATAGAACATAAATTTTAGTTAGTTTAATGATTTATATAAACATGATGGGATTAAAGATTAAATCAAATAAGGGTTTCTATCAAGGATATTGATGTCCCCCATTTTTTGCGAATAGAAGAGGACATAAAATCTCATTTGTATGTCTGTCACAATAAATATAACCTTGGTCATCATGGTCATATAATTTGAATTGGAAGAGACATGACTTTCATATTAAACATGTGTATTAGTATTTACCTGTGACAATGCCATTCTAAATACACTATGTATTTTTCTTCCCATGACCTTGAACTTCACGTTTGACCTAGTTTAAAAAACATTTAGATTGG